CCCAAGGGTGGAGTGGGGGAGATCAGAAATGACATTTCCTGGAACAGGAACATTTAAGGGCTGTGAAGTGATGGAAACTTGGAGCTCACCTTCAAAGTAGGTACTAACCCACTCTCCAGGGATGAGTTTTTATACAAAACAAACATCCTTGGGATTCCCTCAACCCATTTATCTTAGGATCAGTCTCCTGGCTCCTTTCAATTGGTCCGTTTATGGACCATCTTCAGGATTCCCAAGGAATCTAGAGTGTGATGGGTCTGGCAGGGAAGAGCCTAAATGTACCCAAAGGGATTCGGATCGCTTGAGGTAACTTCCACTGCCTCCTGGTAGGCAGTCTTAAATGTACAGTTTTTATGATTTCATTTCTCTACCTCATCAAGTAATGTAACATTAGGCTACTTCCCCCCTCCCCCCGCCTTCACTAGCAACTCCTCAGGCGTCTCCATCTCAGCATTTCTGACTATTGAGTAAAACTCAGTCCACCAAGCTCAGCAGACAAGGCCACCACCACCTACTACCCTAGCGCTAAGAACATACTGACGTCTAGGGTCCTATAAGGTTTTCTGCCTTGTTAAAAGACATCCAAAGTCTCAGATTTCCCTGCCCATTTATGGTACATCTACTTTATGACCCCATTTACTCTAGTGGTTGTAAAATCGCATGTGACCCTTACCCAGACCTGTGTCACTTGACTCAGGTTTATTCTCAGCCACAGCCACTTAACTGTATTTATTATGTCCCCACCTATATTTAAGAGCCTAAGGTTAAGTGTGGTCCCAAAGCTTCAGCCTTCCCACATGCTAGGGACAGCAGCTCCGGCCCTGAAGAGGGCAGATCTGAGCCTGCAACCCTCGCTGTACCCCTCCCTACTCTACTGGCTTTAAAACTCGAGGGGTGCAGCAAACTCGAGGCCCTGATGGAAGACTAAGAGGCAGTACCAGGCACCCAGATGTTTTCAGTGAGGACGCAACACACTGCGTCCCAGTGTGCACTGTCAACTTCCTGCGGCAGACAGAAGGCAACACTTAAGTGCAGAGCCTCACACGGCATGGGGAGGTCACAGGCAAGCTGCTGCCTAGGTCTTGAAAGGCCAAGAAGGGGACAGTAACAACCCAAGCCCTCAGCTATGGAAAGACCTGAGCAAAGCACAAGCTTAGGTCCCCCATCTTTCAAGCAAGAATTGTCAACTGCAGTTAGCTCTGCTGGGACCCTAATGGGCTCACCTTCAAACTAGCTCAGGAACCGGGGACCTGTTCCCCAAGCCATGTGTAACTAGTCTTCATTATGGCTAGTGTTGAGCTCGCTCAAACACCTTCACTACAGAGGCCCTCATACAGGACAGAAGGGTTTGCCTGGCCGGAAACTGAAAGCTACGGTGGCACTGGTTACAGGTGTAGAGTATCTGTCTCCAAGACCCAATCGCCTCTGGTGGGCTGAATTGGAAACGAGGTGTTTACAATAAAGAGGCCCCAAGAATGGATCCAATGGTAAGCTTGGTCAGAGGTGAGGATAAGAATTCAGTCATCCTTGCTGGAATGAATGCCCAATCCAGAGATTACCATGTCTCTATAGGTTCATGTAGGCATGATAATAAACTTCTGGTAACAATCCTCCTTAAGTCATAAGGGGCAAAGATACAGTTTTGAGAGCGATGGCCCAGCTCTCAAGCATTCTCTTCTGGAGGGACAGCCCCAGGCCCCACTGCAGAATCACCGGTGAACCCCTTCTAACCAATTCTGCCCCAATTCCACACTTCTCTCACAGCTAGTTGGACTATGAATGCCCCCTGGATCCAACCTGGACCAGGATCAAGACCTTCCAACTACATTTCAAAGGCAGACAATGCAGCCCAAGGCCTTTCAGCCACTTCAGACCATAAATGAAACCGCACTGGCTTCCACCTTGCTCCCCATTTTCTCCAGCAGCTGGCCCAGCCCCTTCCCTTAGTCTTTTGAACCCAACATAGTAAAGTGGGTGGATGGGCCTTGGAAGCCTACAACTGTCCAATTCACCTTGCTCCTCCTTGAAAGCTTCTAGGAGCATGGGGCCCACACAACTAATGCATATTCCTGCATTATAGCCAAGAAAAAGTCACACAGCAAAGCGCCTGTCTGAGGTGACTGGAAACCCACTTGCCTCCTCCAAGGGGATGCCATCAGACCTCTTTAGCATACGTGCAGCCAGTGAAGGGTTTGTCCAAGTTACTCAAATTCAAGGAACTAGTTTGCTGAAAGCTAGCCTTTCCCCCAAAGGCTTTCCCCAAAAGCACCCTTTTGTTCTGAGTTGCCTTTAGTATATACTTTCAGAATCAAGTTTGGGGAGGCTTATACATTGCCCACTCCCTTGCAATGTAAGTCAGCAGCTCCAAATTGTCTGGAGTGCCCTGGGATACATGACAGGAAGTTACATGGTACCCCTGTCTCATGTTCCTGGGATGGAGGGGTCCTGGCCTGTAGTCATGGTGATATGTAACAGATATGCCACATGAGAAGTGTAGTTTGAGACGGGACTTCGACTGCAGGAGTTCCATGGGAAATAGCAGGTGCAATACAGCTAGGCAGACAGGTGCTGGGCCAAACCATCCAGGAGACTGGCACTTCAGTCTCAGCCAATGTCTGGGCCCTCCCCCATGCTTTAGAAGTACAGGAGGTGTGGGTCTATTAACCAAGAGTGGGGGGGGCACTGAGAAATTAAGACTACTGCTGCAATGAGGGGGCTGAACAGATGCAAGAAAAACTGTCACCAGGACTATGCTAGCTTACCACAGGACCACGCTAGCAACAGGAAACCCTGCCAATATCAGCAACACAGGCTTGCAAAACAACCAAATTTGGTGCAGGACTGGTTGGTGGTCAGGACAGGAATAGGGGAGACTTTTGGTCAGTGCAACTGCAGACAAGGGCATTGGTCACTGTGGGAAGGAACACGCCTGCAGCAGAGAAAATGGGTAGTAGAGCCTGATCTCAGCGGAGCTTTTCTTTGAATAGATTTGAGACATTCCAACTAGTGGATAGAACAAGTGATCAGACTGGTTGGCAGAACTACAAATCACTACAATACTTCATCGCAACCCATGCTACAACATGGTTTATTAAGCACTTGTGCAGGGAACCAGGGTGATCTAAGGAATAGACTTGGTTCCACTAATGTGAAATTCTTTACACCTGAGAAAACACGTTTACCCACAGATTGGGGTTAGAACACACACCACCAAGGTGTCCCTTTCTCCCTAGAGCTACAAACGGCTACCAGGTTGTCTTTGGCTATTTAAGAGATTTTTATTGATAGCAGCTGCTCCACAACCGAACTATTTTAAAAAGCAAAACAGATGTTCCTCCTCCCCTCTCCAAACTAAATTTGAAGGTAGAATCATTTAAGCTGAAAATAAGCCTTAAAGCCCAGCACCTTGCTAGGGGTTTGGAAACCTGAGCCAAGTTGGCTTTGTAAAATCTAATTTTCAACATCAACTCCCATGATTTGATGCACACACCTGGCTCCTAGCTTGCAAGAGCTTACTCCCCACATCTTGAATTACACAAATGCACTTCGTGGTGCTGTGGCCCTTGCTCTAGCAGTCTCATTTGCAGAGGATAGAAACAAGTTCTCGTTTCTCAGAGAAGGTAGCTGCAAGCCCCTAGTATACTTGTTTTGCTTCAGGACTCAACATTTTGTAAGACTGCACCTTCCTATGGCCCTCCAGTTCACTGAAACCACTTTGAAGGATGGGGCTGGGGACTGGTCTCCCCTGGGAGACATGCTAGACCACCAAACACCTCTAAGAAAAAGGAGCAGTGCAGACCGGGAATGTATGCAACAGCTATGGTTTAGGAAAAAAAAAAATTTGGTGCCAGGGATCGGACTCATGATCTTGCACTTGCCAGGCAGGTGCTATGGCCAGGGCAGGTGATGCTCATAGAAAAGCTGCGGGCTGACCTAAGGGCTTACCCAGGTAGATCCCCTTGAAGATAATTACAGACAGAAAACATGTCAGAGGCCCTGAGGTGGGGCTCATGCTCTGGGCTTCTTCCGTTTTCCAAAAAGCAATAAGCAATCCCAAGGCCTATGGCCAAACACACCATTTAAAAAATTTTATAAACTGGCAGCCCAGGAAGCCGTAGGCTAATATTTACAGGCCCATCCAGCTACTACCAGGACAAAGGCAACAACAGTAGGGGAGGCGTACATACAAAGTCACGCAACCGGGTGCAACTGCCCAGGTAAGAACCGTAAGGGCAGGCAGGATTCAGTACCCTTGGCTCGCAATGGCACATGATGCCACTGAAAAGCATAACAGGACTGCTCGGCAGGTTTGAATTTAAAGCAAAGACACCCTCTCCAGAATTCTTCACTTAGGCTTCGGAGCTTTCTAAGTAACCACAGGGGTCACCTCAAGACTTCACCTTCACCCTCCTTAGCCCCATCCTACTAGTAAAGTCCTTTTAAAGCACTAACAGTTTTACCCTCGCTTCCCCAAGAGCTTTTGCCCTTTTAAAAGCACGCGTCCCGCTCCCTTCTGCTTATGAAAAGTTAACATGTGTTCTCTCTGTGCTTCTTGGCTTAGCTTAGCTTTTTTCCTAAAATAAAGTTTTGCTTCGTGCAAAAAAAGTCACGACCCAGGGAGAAAAAAATAAAAGGACCCCTTCCATCTGTTTGCAAAACTCACGTCGGGGCCCCAAAGTTTCCCCGGACAATGCTGTTTCGTTAACTTTCCGCGAATAAAGTCTCCTTTCCGTTCCTTCACGTCCCTCCCCACAGCCTCAGAACCGCCTAGGAAAAACCACCTCAGAAAACCACATTCTGAGCTCGAGAGCTCGCCGCGCCTCCTTTTCAAGGCCCGTGGCCCTAACGTCACTTCCGGGACGTGGCGGAGGCGGGCTGCGGGGGAGGGGCAGCGAGGCCGTCCGCGCAGGCTCAGGAGGCGCCCGCCGCCGAGCCGAGCGCTTGACTATATATGGTCAAAGCTGGGGGCGAGCCGCGCCGGGGCCGCGCTTCCGGGTTCGGCGTCGCAGCGGCAGCGCGCAGGGCAGCGCGAGTCGCCCCGTAGCCCGGCCTTGGACCGCCCCCTCCGCGCCCGGCACGCCCGGCGCCGTCTTCCGCGCTGTCCCCGGCTCTGGCCTCGGCGAGGTCCTTTCGCGGCGCGGCCGGCTAGTGGCTCTCGGCGAGCGCGGCGCGGTAACAAGTGAACGAGGATGCCATACGAGATCAGTGAGTGAGCGGCGGGAGCGAGCCGGCCTCGCCCCGGGCGGCGGGGGTCCCCCGGGAGGGGGCGGGGCGGCGCGGGGACCCTGGCCTGGGAACCCAGAGTTGGCGCCCGAGCCGGGAAGAGGGGGCGCTCAGCGCCACCCCGGCGTCGCCCGGGGCCTGGTCGGGAAGTGGCAACAGCCCCTGCGCGCCTGGAAAGTGGCGGTCGCCCCTCCCGCGGGCGGCAACAGGTGACCGGCGGGGGCCGTCCTCTCCCCTCCAGCTTGCCGCATCCTCCGACTGGCTTGGGGGCCAAGGCAAGGGCCACCCCTTACGCGCCCTACGCGCTTCTGTCCCCACAGAGAAAGTGTTCGCCAGCCTCCCCCAAGTGGAAAGGGGCGTATCCAAGATCATTGGCGGCGACCCCAAGGGCAACAATTTCCTGTACACCAATGGCAAGTGCGTTATACTGAGGAACATCGACGTGAGTACCGCACACCCCACTATTAACGTGCTTCCGTCCCGGCCAGCGTGCACCACCTTGGGAGTGGAGATCGCTCCTCCTTCCACCCCTGATGTCCCTGCCCAGGCTTGGGGAGGGCTGAGGCGGGGCGCCACGCCCCTTCAACCCTGTGACCACACCTCAGGAATTCAGAAATCTGATTCTGTGCCCACAGGCCCTTTTAATTTTTTTTGAGGTGGGTAAACTGAGGGTCAGATTAGTTCAGTTCTGAGCACAGGGACTCTAGATTTGAAGGATGGGACAGGACTGAGCAGCTGCTGCTTGGTCTTGGGATGATTGATGTCATGTTCTCCTTGAGTATAGTTTCTTCATTTGCAAAATGGAGATGGTGAGATGATGATATACCCCCGATTCCTCTAGCCACGTTGGCCTAGGGCATGAGCTGGAAAGCCAAGGTGGCTAGTGGGCATGGAGCAGTTGGTAAATGGCCTTAATCATATCAGAACCCTCTGTTTCCCAGTGCACACCCAGTGCTCTGGACTCCAGCCTGAACTGCCGCTGTGGATCTGAGCCTTGGAGGAGAAACAGGAACCAGCTTATTTCATGAATCATTCTCTGCAGGCACTCTGTACCCAGACTAAAAATGCTTCTCCAGCCAGCTCCATGTGAAACCCTCTCAGGTTTCCCCTCTCATGTTATTCCTCTGGATTGTCTAAAGGGCCTAGTCTGCTTGTCGCTCTCCTCCACTTCAGGGACTGCCCACTTGAGTCTTGCTTCTCTCTCCTGGGCCTGGGAGATGGTGAGGCAGGTAGAAGCCCGAGGTGCCAGCAAGGTCACTTTAGGAGGTTTCTTCTGTGCTGGGCATGGGACTGGTGCACATGTGCTTGCTCACAGAGAATGTCAGCTTCAGCTCACATCTGCCATCAGATGAGCTGGGGTGTTGGCTTGAGAGCCTCACAACCGACTGGAGGATTGCAGGGGCTCAGTTTCCTGACTGACCAGAGAAGCCTTTTCCTCATCAGAAGTACTGCTGGCTATGTCCCTCTTTGTGAGTTCAGCCAGTCAGGGATTCCTGGGTACCTCCCAGGAGGGAGTGGGTGGGTGTGAACTTGCCTTGGAGATGCTAAGGATTGACTACTCCTGGAGTTTCCTAGAAAGCTGACCCAGCTTCCTTTACAGCTAGGGAAACATCACTGAGGGCTGTAATAGCAGTGATTAAGAAGTCCGAGAGGGTAAAAACTGAGATTGCCCTTAGTAGGTCCTCATTTAGTAGTTTGGTGCAGAAGATGACCTGAAGCCCTGCACAGATACCGAGCAGTAGAATACTTGGTCTTGCCTCCAGCAACGCTTTCCAGTATCATTTAGTCTGCCTTCACTCACAGCTAGGGGAACTGTGTGGAGAGCTGCCAGCTTGTCCCATCCCCCAGCTCAGTCTCTTCCTCCCCAGAGGGGCCCTGCTCTGCCAGGTGAAGGAAGCAGATTGACAACCAGCAAAGAGCATTTCTTTGCCGAAAGAGATCGCTGACTTACTGAGTCCTTTCTGGCAGCCCCTCTGAGGTCCTCAGTCTTGTCCCTCCCAGGGCTTTATCCTTCTCCCCTGAGGGGATTTTCTTTCTTTCCCATCCAGTTTTAAGTTCCTGCAGTGTAACATCCCTTCCTGTGGCAATGACATAGGGCACTTTTAGGTTGATGAGTGGGGTGTTGGTCCTCAAAACTGGGTATGATTTTTATTAGGGCAAATTATTTCTGGAAGAAAGTAAGGCATGAATTCCCTTGACCATTCAGAGTGTATGAAGGACTGGTTTGATTGGAATACAGGGGAAAGAGGGGCAAGGGGAGGCTGGCATCAGATCATGAAAGGTCTACATGGCATCTCCACATGCCCCAAGTCAGACTTCGGGTTCCCCTGTGCACTTCCCCCCAAAAGGCAACTTTCTACCTGCTCTTGAGGCCCTGGATCCTCCCTTCTCTACCTCAGCCAGTCCCACTGGCTCCTCATTCAGAGAGAGGGTCTGCAGGATCCTGACAGATGTGCACTGCTGTGCTCTGACCCTCCCAGGCCACCATCCTCTGCCGCCTGGATTGTTCTGCCTCTGCCCTTGCTGCCTGTGCAGGAAATGAGCTGGAGTGGTTCCATTCAGACCTGTGACACCAGAGCCTAGTTAGCTCCAGCCCTCCCTAGCTTCCCATCTCTGAAAGCCGGAGTCATCTTTGTGGCCGAGGAGGCCTTACCAGGCCCACAAGTCTTTCCCTCAGACATGCCACATGTCCATCTTGGAACCTGCCAATTGCCTTTGCCTGAATTATTATTATTATTTTTGCACTGGTGGCTTAGTGGGGCTTCCTTCCACTAAGGACCATTTTCAGCTCTGGCCTCCTCTGCTGCTCATTTCTGATGTGAAGCAGGCTAGCAGGCAGGCCCCTGCCACCCCTGATTGTACATGGGAGCCTGTCCACTGTTCATCCCTAACTCAACACCAGCTCCAGAAAGCCAGGCTTGCCCTCTACCATCCACTGCATGTCCTCACACTAGGAGACTGACCTGGCATGTGGTAGTTCCTCTAGAAGAGCCTGGTCAAGATGCCACTAAGGTTTTACTGTAAGAGAAGACAAGCTGAGCTTTTTAGGTTTGTTGGGCATAAATTTTGGGGAACCTTCTAAAGTTGTTCTTACCAACTTCTGGGAGCTGCTGCTGTCACTGATCGGTTAACAGGTGTTGTGTTGATGCATAACATCTCTTAGGCTTGAAAGGAAGGGGTTTTCCTTTTCGGTAGAGGATCAAACTCAGGTGCTACGTCCGCAGCCCTTCTTATTTTTTGAGACAGGTTTCACTAACTGTCCCAAGATAAACTCCAACCTGTAATACTGCTGAAACTGTGGAGCAGGTGGAATTACCGGCATCTGCCAGTGCCCCTCATAGGGGTGTTCTTAGCTCTTTGAATACATCCCATTGCTCCACTTGGTGAAGAGTCTCTTGTAGGGTTAAAGCTTTGATGGTGGCCACTTAGAAACTCATAATCCAGGAGAGTGCTCCAGAACTGAGGCAGCCGTGAGCAGCATGTGCACCTTGCTTGATGGGGAGAGAGGGACCCCAACCAAGGGCAAGTGGCGCTGCCATGGGTGTACAGAAGGTGCCCAGCAGTGCTTCCTCCAGGCTGCCTTGCCCTGTGGGCCAGTGTTACCTGAGTCACTGCTAACGTTAAGGCCTGTGTCTCCCTGCCACGGTGACTGTGCAGACTAGGAAGGAATGCTGTGGGACTGTGAAGGAACCTACAGGATTCCAAATTGCCTGTGACCATGTCCTTGTACAAAACGGCTTACACGAATGAGCCTATCAGCAGCCTTACCACACTGATAGGGCACATGATAGGGCAGTTCCTAGCTTCCAGAGCCAAGCAGTGCACTGGGGAAGCTGCAGTGTCTGTCTCTCACACAGTGTCTGACTCTCAGAGTGAAACGTGAAAAGCCAGCAGGTGGACACTGTGTCCGAGTGCAGTACATGTGGACCTGTCTCCCCAAGCAGGCTGCAGGTCAGAACCCACACTGGGTTTCATGAGGCACCATCTGCTACTGGTCACATGCAGAAGGACCTGTCTGTGACCCTGCAGGTGTTGGGGAGGGCCTTTGAGGACTGACTGAAGTGGCATGCCTGCCCCTACATGTTCAAGATGGCCTTCAGCCTGTGAGGTGCCAGGGGAGGCCCTGCCTGCAGAGCTCTGTTGGGGGAAGGAGTGTATGATCTCAGCAGCAAGAGGAAGTGACACGTTTGGTGACCATCTGGACAGAAGTAAGCACGGGAAAACCCAAGCTAAGAACCCTGTGCCCTGTCGCCTGGAAGTGAAGGGGGTTTTGTTGCACAGTGGTGACTGAGTTTGGGAAGGTCAGTGGGGCCGGCTCGGTGAAGCTGGATGCTGGCTGCAGGGCTGAGGGGAGTCTCAGGCCACTTGCTGGTAGAGATCCTGGCTCTGTTCCAGGTTGACTGGACCCATGGGAAGGTGGGCAGATGGGTGACAAGCTCAGACCTGCCAGGTTAGAGTTCAGCTGATTGTTGAGAGGAGTCTGCTTGGAGACCCACTCCTCTTCTGGGCTCACCAGTGGTGCAGGTCCCTGTTTGCTCCCCATTGACAGCAGAGTCCCCTAAGCTGGCATCTTGCTGAGCCAGTGCTGTGTACTGTGGGCTAGGATTTCAGTAGGTTCTTTTCATTGGGCAGCTTTGCCTGGCTCTGGTTGCCCTGGGGATGCTTGGCAGTTACCTGGTACCTGTAGTCAGAGCTGTTGGCAAATGCCCTACAAGGTACAGGACCATCCCACAACACAGTGACCAAGCCCCAGCTGCCTGTGTCCTCGAGACTGGGAATCCTGGTATAAACACTTTCATGCATGGGATTAAGCATTTTTTAAGAATTTCTGGAGTGCTTTGGAGACATGAGGGAACAGTCACTTGTGCCACAGAGTAGAAAGCGCAGCTGTTGGCGAGGCATACATTGGCACAGGGCTGTGGGGAGAAGAGAGTTTTCCAGACACAGCAGAAATGGGGATTCCTAACAGGAAGAGTGCAGGCCCCGTGGTCCACGCACAGCCCCACCGCAGGTGACCAACTCCTGCCTCCGTCTGGGTTGAGGAAGTGGGTGATGGGAGGTGCTTGTTCTGCAGTCTCCACCCTTGCAGAGCTTGTCTAGCAGCCGGAGAGCAGGCTAGAAAGGACCCTTCTGCTGCTTCTCTACTCAGCTGGAGCTGAGCACTTTGGTGGCTGGCCGAGCACTTCTTCCTGAAAGGCCTGCTGCTCTTGGGGTCGTAGCTAGAAAGAGGCCCCAGCTCAGGTCCACACCCAGGGCTCTTCTGTAGCCCCAGCCTTCCACCCAGCCAAGCTTCTGGCACCCCACATCTAGGAAGCCAGGGTGTGTTGGGAGCAATGGGAGGCATAACCACAGTAACAGCACATTGCGCTGGCCACATCCTGGGGTGGACGTTCTGGTCCCTCCAGGTGGGGACACTAAAGCTGAGGGAAAGGGGGCACATATCGAGTGATAGAATGCGCTTGGGGTCACACTGGAGTCTTATGCTGTGGGCCCGAGTGACCATCCCGCCACCAGCTGAATGACCAGGATCCACAGGCCTGGTTGCCTGAGTTAAGGAGTCCAGGCTAATGTCAGTGCCAGCTGTGCGTAAGTAGAGGGGAAGGATAAAGGCTGGTCCCTAACTAGGCCCCAGGGTGCTTCGTCATTTGCTTCATCTCTGATCCTTGGGTTCTGTAAAATGGGCTTGGGATGCTGTTGCCCTAGGGCCCTTCATCTAGTACAGGGGACAGAGTAGGCATGGCCTGGTCTTCAAAGACTGCAGGGTAGCACTTGAAACACAGGTCCTGCCCAGTACAAAAAGGGGGTGAGGTACAGAAGTGGTGGAGGGCACAAGGGAGGAAGCATTGTGGGCTCTTTGGGCAGGAGCAACAGGGAAAGCTTCTTGGAGGAAGTGACCTCTGCCTGGTACTTAGGAAAAGGTCACTGGGTTTGGGATTGGGGAAGAGGGAAGACAGTAAATGGGGAAATTTCAAACAGTGATTGGCAGAGCATGGCAGGGAGAAGGGCCCTCACGCAAAGTGGACTCTGGACCATGGAGGCTGTGGGTTCTGGGCGTGAACCCTGGGCGGTTGTGCCCTGGAGTGCAGAGATCTTATCACTGCATTGGCTGGGTCTCTGTACACACCTGGTCTGGCGCCGGTCACTGGGGAGCTGCTTCAGGCTTCAGACCTAGGATCTAGAATGTTCAGAACCCCAGTGTCCTGCCTGGAGGGGCACTTGCCTTGCCCAGGTGATGGGGGTGGACCCCCTGGGAGCCCCCTTTTCAGCATCGAGGAGGCTGGGGAGACAGGCCCAGCACTTGTGGCTAAGCAGATCCTCCCTGGGGCCTTGTGTCTTTTTTCAGTTTCCCCTCCCTGCAGGGAGAGGATGGGGCTTAGGGTGGTGAGACTGCCACTGTCCCCATGGTGGGGCTAGAAGAAAGTGTGGGTACCCGAGCCAGTGGAGCAGTGTTCAGGCACCAGTGTCTGCACTGCTGGGCATCCTCCCTTCTAGTTCAGTCTCATTCCTGAGCACCTACCAAATAAATAAGTTCCTCTCCCCAGTCCTCTTCTCCCTCCCAAGGCTGCCAGACGGGACGCCTGGGGGCTGTTTCTGTAATTTGGAGTCTCTCTCCCTACGGCTGACCCAGTTGTTTGACCCATACAAACCAGAGTGAAAGTGAGTCATCCAGCTGGCTCTGGATTCAGTGCCCTCTGGGGCTTTCCACACCCCATGTGTAGCTACCCAGCCATGTAGGGGAAGGAATCCTCGGGCAGAACTGCGGTGGTCCCTGCCCAGCCTGCTTCCACCCCAGACGCCCTTGTCCTGGGCTCACCCTGGTGTGGAGGGAGGCAACCAGCCTGCTTTGGCACTGCTGAGGGCTCACTGTGGAGCGAGGCTCTGGCACTGGTACAGTGTGGGGGGGGGGGGGCCCTGGGTGTCGGTGTGTCCCCCAAGTGCTCATTGGAGCACTCTAGGAGGATGTGGAGGTGTTCATCAGAGGAGGAAGGTGTTCGATCGAGCGTGCAGAGGGCAAAGCAGGCCTTGCAGCCTCAGGGTGGTATGACTTGAGTTCAGGTAAATGGTCCCATAGCCCCGATGTAGTTCTGATGCAGAACGTTGCAGGGATGAGAAAACCCCTCTTGAGTCTGGGAGCCACTGTCTCCCACCCCGTCACCAGCGACAACAGCTCCACTCTGTCCCTGGGCCACCTGTTCCAGTTTCTCTCCTAGGAAGGGGTCACACAGTCTGTCTGTCGGTCTGTCCACTGTTCCACAGCCCTGGGGGTTTATAAACTGCCAAACTTTTCCGCTGTGCCTTTTTGCATTTCTAGGAGCAAAGTAGGAGCACTGCAGGGTCTTCACCAGCCTTGCAAACACTTGGTGACATTATATCCAAATTTCTTCTGGTGGACCCTCTCCTGTAAGGCGTGGGGATGTTTGTCCTAGCAAAAACTCAAGTTGGTGTCATGCAGGTATAAACTATTTTTATAATCAGAGCCACATATAAATGAAGGCTCAGATAAAATATCTTTTGATTGGTTGTGCCCACATACAGGTGGAGGATTGAAAGTAGCTGATTGGTCCTTTGCCAGTGCCTGATTCCAATGAAGGACTGAGGATACTGCTTTGTGATTGGTTGTATGTATAGTGCTCAAGAGCCCTGGGGTCATTCTGGGTCCTGTGTTCTGTGCTCATCTTTTTCTCGGAATCATCTTGCTCCTGGTGATGGCAAACATTTTAGAGACCAAGTGCCCAAACTGCAACTGAAAACCTATTTGCTACCAATGTGATTATTAAGGCTTAGTTCAGAAAAAAAAAAACTCACACAGCTTGTGGTGTCTACACAGAGGGCTGTGCTTGCGCTGTGGCACGTATGCCATGGTTCCCATGAAGGGCTCTGCCTGTTAGCCAGGGGTTGTACGACCTTTGATGCATTCCTTCTGGTTAGCTGTTGGTGTCCCCAGCTCTAGTCTCCTGCCTTAAGTGTAGAGGAGCCAGGGTGGGGCCATCTCAGGAGGCTCAATGGGGAAAGTGCCACACACATTGGGCCATTGGATGCAGTGGGGTGGCAGGTGGCTTGGGAACAACGTTGGGAGATTTGAGGTTTCATAGCCCAACAGAAGGGGACCAGTGCTTGCTGGGTCGCAGCCAAGGCTTGTCTTGGTTTGGGGATGGGATATCTGGGGGTGAGAAAGCCGCTGGAAGAGATCTGCATGGCAGTGCTTGGGGTCAGATCAGATATGCCACAGCTGCCGGGTCTGGAGAGCTGGGTTTCCCTGCCCCAACCCGCTGGTGTCTGGGAAGCGCTTCTTCCCAGAGAGCACTGATTTATCCCCAGCTGACAGCAGCAGCGATCCCAGTCTGTATTCCCCCTGCCAGGCTCGGCGTGTGGGCAGTGTGGGGAGGAGAGCAGGGATCTGCTCTTAGTAAGGCACCATCAGACTTCATTGCTGGGGTGCAGTGACATCCCCAGCCCTAGATGGTGCGATTCAGCCAGACTTCGATCTGTACCACTTCTTCCGAGGCCCGAGCCTCAGCCTCCTGGGCTCCTGAACCAAAAGCTGCGGCCCTCATACTGTGGGCTGCTGTGTGGGCTTGGGGCTGCTAGGGACAATGGCCTAGGGAGAATGGACGTAGGGACATGGACAGAACGTGCTGCTGACGGACAGCATTCCACAACGCGGGAGAGGAGAGTCACAGGGTCTGTTCCTTTCCTCTCATCGTGGGTACATTCCACGAATACATGTGTCCTACACTGTGGAAAGTACAAGAAAGCAGACAGGAAGATTCCCTGAGGCCTTATCACCTAACAGTATAGGCAGGCAGCAGTGGTGGGTAGTTGGGCAGGGGCCACCCTGTCTGGCCACTCAGGGCTTGGCCTGCATCCCTCACCCTGGGCTGGCTGCCCCCTCACTCCTCTTGCTTACCCACTTTTCTCCCGCAGAACCCTGCAGTTGCCGACATCTACACAGAGCATGCGCACCAGGTGGTGGTGGCCAAGTACGCACCCAGCGGGTTCTACGTGGCCTCTGGAGGTAATGTGTGAGCAGACTGGGCACGGGAGATGGCCCAGGTGGCACCTGGGGTGAAAGCCTATTCAGCTCCTGGCTTGGGAAGGAGGGCTTGGGGGAGAAGTGAGGGCACTGCTGTGCAGCTGGCAAGGGAAAGGCAAGCCCCCAGAAGATGTCCCTGTGCAGACCTGTCCTTAGTGGACAGCATGCTCCACAGTGTGCGGTGTCCCCACAGGCTGCAGCCCAGAGCCACAGAAGCCGTGGGGAGCCTGTCAGGGGAGCATACGGTTGTGCATGGGGTGGGGTGTGAATCCGAGCTGCCTTTGCGTCCCCCTCACCCGCTGCTCCTTTCCCAGCTGCCTCACAGCAGGCACGGGGTTGTCTGAGGACTGGCCTTTGCCCTCTCCAGCCTGGCTTTCTGTGTGGCTCAGTGGGAATCCCGCCAGAGGAGGGGCCTGAGGTTTACATTCTCAGAAGCTTTGTTCGCTCAGTCCTTTTGATTTCTGGCCATTTGAAGGCCAGACGGGCAGGCGCAGGTCATCCAGTCTCCAGTCGTACACTCAGCAGATATTGATGACCCCTGTGGCCACTGGAGCCCCATCTTCAGCCTGACAGGGGTGGGGTGGGGTGGGGCCATGTGTTATCTGCTCCTTGAGGCTGTATGTGTGGGAGGCTGTGGGCCAAGGGGACACCCTGTGAATGGCTGTGCAGCCACAGTTCAATAACTGACTTTGGGGCCTCAATGTTCCCTTCTCTAAGCTGGGGCTGCAGAGGTGAGGAAGGACCCTTGGGTGCAATGTGTGGACAGCACCCCATGTGGGACCTGGGCAGATGGGTACCTTAGCACCAGGGCGACCAGGCCATCTGGCACTGCACGCAGAGCACTGCCCTGTTGGGAGAGCCAGGGAGGGGACAGGCATGCTGCTGGCGTCTGCTGCTGATTGCCAGGGTTACGATCAAGTGCTGGAAGGGGGTGTGACATGCAGAAGGCGCAGAATAGCTTTTGTGTTTGGATCTCCGATGGTGTTTTAAGGTTTGCTTTAATCCCATGGTTTATTTTAATTCTGTGATAGCTCTTCTTCACTTGCCAACAAAATGTCTTCATTAAGCCCCCAGAATTGGTCCAGGTGCTTGCATAAATTGTGTTTTAACACAGCCTGGTGCTCTGAGAAATTTTGTAGGAGAAAAAAGTGCCTGGCAAGGGCATCTGTCCAGCTTGGCACAGCTCCCGCCCTGCTGTGCCCAGCTGAGAGCCTGCCAGCCCTGGCCTGGCCACCTGTCCCCAGGGACCACTCAGCAAGACAGAAGTCAGTGGCCTTTGCTGTAATGGAGGTGGACACAAGGGACAGTCCCCTGCATACGTGCCTGTCCACCTGCCGTGTTCTTCACAGAGCCGTGATTTGGTGAGGGAAGCAGGGGAGTTCTGGGGTGGTGGTGGCATTTGTGTCTCTCCAGTCTGTTTCTTTGAACGGAGGGGAGTGATTGTGGAGCATTACAATGAACACTGATGCAGAGAAGCAGGCTTGGGCTAAAAATAGTGGGGTCTACAGGGTTCGGAGTGAGGACGGGGCGGAAGTCTCAGGAGGGGCTGTGCCAGCGCGAGGCAGAAGCCCATGGTGCCCGTCAGCCTGGACCCCAGGCCCTGGCATCTGTGGGTGCTGTGGCCAATGACTGCGGCAAGGTGGGGTCCTCCAGAGAGCCCCCCACATGAACAGGATGGTCAGCCTTGGCCTGGAGGAGCCCACACTGCTGTGCGACCATGGCTCTCAGCGGCAGCTCAGCTCTCCAGCAGTGTTTTCCTCCTCCTGTGATTTTGGTGTCGGCTGTCACTTTGCCCCTCCATCCTTCCAGCAGTGATTCCCAGATGGTCCTCGGGGTACCGCAGGGACGTGAGGTGGTGACACCTGATGTGGCTGTACATCTAGGACAGGCCTCTTGGAGGAAGGCTGCATGTGTCCTGAGATGAAGGGGAGAAAGGTGGGCTGTAGGGTCCATGAGAGCAGAGGTCGTGGACTGCAAAAGCCACTTGCCCTTTGCTGTCACTTCCCTCTGCTCCTGTGGGGTTCGCAAAGCAGCTCCTGTGTGTACCACATGAGTAGAGCGCAGGGATCGTGTCAATGTAGCCGGAATGTGCAAGCGACAGGTCATCGGGGTGTACGTTCACGTCTCCCTGCCAGGCCCCTCTGTGGGGCAAGCACCTTGTCTGCCCCCAGCGCTCAGCACAGGGCTGGAATACTCAGTGGGCCCTCGGTCAGTGGTCAGGTTAGGGCTCTGTGCCTGGCCCCAGAACCCCTTGCTGGAAAGAACGAAACACACAGCCAGGGCCCGTGGAGGAGGTCAGTGGTCTGTGGGGCACAGAGAAATGGCTATGTGGCCATCCAAGAACAGAGCCGTAGCCAGTGGTGAGGAAGCAGGCAGATGAGCCCAAGGGCATGGAAGAGCAGGGCTCTGTCCTGTCTGAGAAGTGGCGGGGTGTGCCAGTGCAAGGCAGAGATTTTGGTCCATAACCGGATCGCTTCACAGCAGGGTAGCACACGGCAGAGGGGCAGCAGTTCGTGGTGATGGAAGACAGGAAAAGCTGTAACATAAGCCTCTTTCTGTCCCTTCTGTTGTGTCCAGTCTACGGGTAGCAGTCCAGTCAGCGGACCGATTAGCAGTCATCCACCCTTAATCCCAGCATTGCACTATGACTCAGTCACACTGCAGATTCAGCTGCCCGTGAAAAGGCCGCATCTAAAATTGCTGGAGGCTTTAGGGAGACGCAGGGAAGGTCACAGCCCACCCGCCTGCTTCTGAGGCCAGGGCAGGAGTTGTAAACCTGAGCTGGTATGAACACGCCTTCCTTCCCACCACCCACACAGTACTACTTTGGGAAGGGGCGTGTCAGGCTGATGCTTGATGCTGGGATCCTGCGGGGACAGCGTGGGCCCCCACGTTCGTTTCTTTACAACTTGCTGCCAGCTCTGCACATGGCACGCAGCCCTCCTGCTCCCACGGCCCCTGCTGTCTATCTCCACATAGGAGCGGCTTACTCAGCCCAGCTAGTGCAGAATGCCACGTCTGTGGGCTGCCGGCGGGGCTGGGCCACACGTCGCCCAAGAGGTACCTGGGAGCTCAGGACTACAGTGCATCCCATCGGAGTGCAAAGCAGGTGGCCCTAAGTCCACAGCCCACTCACTCATAGCCCCTAGGAGCTACCAAGTGAAGCTGCTTAGCCATGCATTGAGTTTCAATTTCCTGTAGCTAGGCAGGGTCTGGTGTTCAGGTGAGACTCAGGTAAAGTAGCAGCCTGCAGAGGTAACACCGAGGGAGCAAGGCTGAGTTTGGTGTACCAAATGCAGCCTTTCCTCCAGGCCTCGGGGTGGGTGCTGTGCAGTGGCTGGAGCCCTGGCCTGGTGTGCAGCATGGCCCCCCCACATCTGTGTGCTGCAGATATCTCTGGGAAGCTGAGGATCTGGGACACCACGCAGAGGGAACACCTCCTCAAGTATGAGTACCAGCCTTTCGCTGGGAAGATCAAGGACATTGCCTGGACCGAAGACAGTAAGAGGATCGCCGTGGTCGGGGAAGGAAGGGAGAAGTGAGTTGCTCGTCTCCCCCCCCCCCCCCGCCCATTTCCCTATGGCCTGGCCCCAGTGGCAGGAAGATCTGGGCCAGCTGAGTTCCAGGGGGCATCAGCCCTCCTGCTGCCTTCCCAGACTGGGACGAGCTGGGCCCTTAGGGTCAGCTCAGCCACACTGGAGGGGATACATCCCACAGGGCTGTGTCAGGGATTCTCTGGCTTCTCAGACTCCCTGTCATACCGTCCCAGCAGCAGGGAAGGGACAAGTGAGTAGGGTGCACCTGTCATCAGGAGGGCACTGGCCATGAGTTCACGGCTGAGGACGTTACCCGAGGGCTTGCTGCACCCTGAGCAGGCTGACGCTGCCGGCTGTGCTCTTGGCAGTGGGCAGTGGGCAGTGGGCTCAGAGTCTGGTGTGGGATCTGTTCCCCGGCAGTCGGCACCCTCGCAGCCTGTGGGCGCTCAGCCTCGACGGCCCCAGCGTCCCCTTCTGTAGCATGCGTTCTGGGGACTGTTCGTTGCTCTGTGGTTTTTAGTTACTCCCTGCCACTCCAACAGTTCCATTTCTAATCAGTGGCAAATAAAACCTAAAAAATACATTGTCATGCATTTTTATTACATTACTGTTCTAAATTTTTTGTCACTGAATGTTTGAAGTGTGTAGTGATGGCATTCGCTGGGGGCTTTGGAACATGCACACAGCACATTGATTGTTTCTTTGTGCCCCCTCCATCCATCCTTCAGTCCCCTTCCCATTTATGAGAGATCTCCCTGTCCCCTGCACCTGGTTTTTGTCTTTAACGTATTTGTACTTTGGGTTAAAGAAGTGTCTGCTTTCCAGGAGGGGATAGTACCTGGCCTCTTTGCCTCCCCCATCAGGAAAGCGCAGAGGCCATGAAGGCCCCAGCAGCTATTTGCTGGGGTGCCCTCTGTATGGGGGGAGGCCTCCGTACTGGGCCGTGCACCCCAACACCCACCCACTTCTGGGGAGTCTGGTGGCCTGTACTCAGGCCCTTCACACGGAGCCTGTAGACTGGGATCCACCCGCTGCCCAGTGTGCTGCCCCAGCCTCCTGCACAGCTCTTTGTCTGTGTTTCTCTGCCTTCTCACACTGACTCTGTTCCCTTGACTCCTCTCACTGGGTAAAGGTTTGGGGCTGTCTTCCTGTGGGACAGCGGCTCTTCCGTGGGTGAGATCACTGGACACAACAAAGTCATCAACAGCGTGGACATCAAGCAGACCAGGCCATACCGGCTGGCGACAGGAAGCGATGATAACTGCGCGGCGTTCTTTGAGGGGCCCCCATTCAAGTTCAAGTTCACCATCGGCGTAAGTGGCCACCGGCCATCTCAGGGCGGGAGGAGTGAGCTTTGAGGTCTGTCTGAGACCTGGGTGCAGATGTGGGAGGGTCAGCACGCCATGACGTGCTGGTGGCATTGAGTGGGGAAGGTCTCGAGGTGGAGAGTGCCACTGTCCCCACTGTGCTGCTGAAGGCCAGCGCGTCTTGTGCTGTGGAGCCAGAGGGGAGTCCCAGGCCCCGGCAGCTTCTCAGCTACATGGACTCAGGCTTGTTGAGCTCCCAGAGAGGCAGAGGAGATGGCTTTCAGGACCTCAGGGTCCCTGATTCCTCTGCTGAGAGGCCCAGGAACAGGCATGCCCAAAGTGGCATCAGGCACACGTCAGGGATTGGACACACATTGTCTGTGGCAGGCAGGCACCCTGCATGTCCTTGAGGGGTGCACAGGCTTCAGCATGAGCAACCAGTATTGGGGTCCCTGCTGTCACCAGCCCCTCTGATGGGCTGCTTTTGGGTTCACCTTTCCAATGGCATGATGGGGAGAGGGATGGGCACCCTTGGCACTGCGGATCCAAGGCAGGGCAGGGTTTGAGCCGTGAATGGCCCCCTGGAAGGCAGTCTCAGTGCTCCTTTTCCGGGCCCAGGGTGTGCTCCTGAGGGCCATCTGGGTGTAGGGACGCCATGTAGCAGGGCTGTCCTTGCTGTGGCTGGCCCGCTGTGGCTGTCCTGGTTATCTTGGGCACAGTAGTGCCCACGGTGACGAGGACCAGCTGCCGTGGCTGTGTGTACCCGGAACAGGTGTGTCATGGGCCATGTGTCTCTTGGAGGTGTTTGAGTTTGGGGATCAGGCTGGCCAAGCTCTGGGTTTCACCATCCTTCAGGGGCACCGGTGTCTCTGTATCTAGTCCTCGAGATCCCATAGGACAGTGCCCTTGGCTCGGTGTGGCTCATGCCCCTTCTCCCACGAGAACTGCTTGTTTCAACAACAGTGCAGCCGATTGTAGACAGCAGACATGTCGCTGCTGGAAAGGGTGAGGGTGGATTCGGAGTGGGTAGAATTCCTGAGGTGACACTTGGCTTTGGGTACAGATGAACTCTCCAGGGATTCCCTGGTGAAACAGTACCGCTTTGTCACTGGGGCCTCTGGCCGAGCAGGTTGTGGGTGGCATCTTCCGACACCCTGTAGTTTCAGATCCGTCTCCTGCATCACTGCCTGATCAGTAGGGAGTGGAGATCTGGCTGTTTGGGGAGCTTTGTTGAAGGCTGCAGCCCAAAGTCAGCGTTTAAGTAGAGCCCAAGTCCTATGAACCACGGGACAATGGGCAGCAAGCCCCATGCCCGAGCCTGATCTGAGCCTGAGAGATGGAGGAAGGGTTTTGAGACAGTTGCACACTGTCCCACTGCCTGGGTCCCCGATGAGTTGTCCATGGACAGCTTTGGTCTTCATCAGAGCATGTCAGGGTATGGCTACTTTTCCTGGCCCTGGGGAGCACCTTGTGCTTGTAGGTGTGGGTTGAACATGGCACAGAGCACTCTGAGGAGGAGCCAGGGTTTGAGCCAGACAGCAGCTCCAGCCTGTATTCCGCTCCCTGTGTGCTTACTCGGGCACTTGGGTGGGACATTCTCTCTCCCCTTCTTCTTGAACCTTCCTCCAGCAGCATAGAGCCACAGCACCAGGTAGAAAACTTTGCCCAGCTGGCCCCGTCCTTGGGGCGGGCACTGTCACCATCAAATCCTCCCCAGGAACCCACACCATGGATCCTGAGGAACTGGAGAAGTGGCAAGGGCTGTGGGTCTGGGACTTCCTGACAAGTGGTGCAGCCTACCCTCTGGGGCCTCGGCCTGCACCCTTCCTGTGGACCATGGGAAAGGGCAGGTGCACAGAGAGGCAAAGGGCCAGGGTGTGAGTGTGGCAGGGGGCAGGTAAGAATGTGTGCTGACACCTGCAAGTGCTGCACCTTAGTGCCAAAGCTTCAGTATGAGTGTTCTTGCGAAAACTAAAATGCACATGTGTGGGCTTTTTGAGAAGGAACTAAGTTCTTCCACGGTGAAATCCAAACAGTAGCAGTGTTGTCCCTAGACCTTTCATTCCCAACCCCATGACACTTGGGTGTCAGGGCCGCCTGCACTTCCTGCTCAGCTCTGTTGGAAACTTACCCGGGGAGCAAGCAGTTCACAACCAGCTCTGTCATATGTCTGCCTACCCGGCCCCAAACCACCTCTGCCTGCCCATGGTGCCTGGGGTGTACCCCAATCTGAGGCCTGGAGAGGTGGGTAGTGGCCCTGAGGGAGAGACCTGGGCAGGGCAGAGACAACAGGGTCACGTGCAAATGGTTGCCTTGAAGAAGAGCAAGCTGTGGGTAATCTGGATCCAGCATGCGCTGAAAGGACCCTGTGGAGACTGCACCCAAGTGGTGTGAGAGCGGCGGGTTGGAGGGGCTCGAGGTCACAGCGGGCCACCTCCTGTCTGCCAGCCCAAGATCGCAGCACCACTGAGCGTTCCTTTTTGCTCGGTGGCCCATTGCGCAGAGCGTGTCAGCATGTCCTGGCCTGTGTACAGAGCGTGAACAGCAGTCCTGGCTTGTGCCCTGCAGGCCTCGAACCATAGCCCAGCTTCACACACTGAAGGTGGGGAAGGAGACACCTTTCACCTGGAGTGGCTGCAGGCACCACGCTATCCCCATGCACCCACATTTTAGATGTCCTGGGTGCCTTCTGGCTCACTAGAGGACCTGGGTCTGGGGAGAAGTGAGGTTTAGGACAGATGGTCCCCATCACTGGCCCTTCTGCTGTGAATAGAGGTGTAGGTCCCCAGGGAGGTGCTGATTGTGGCCTCAGGAGGGGGAGAGGTCACCACGCCAAGCCTTCGTTCTGACAGATACACTCAGATGTGTGACAGGGTCCTACCCCACCAGTGTCCTGGTTGTCTGGCATGGCCAAGGGCCGACTTCAGTGCCTCTAGCCTCCCTCGTGCCCCGTGGGTGAGCAGTGGTTACCTGAGGGTTTCACAGCCCTGCACATGTCCCCACTCACAGGCGTTGGTACTAGATACAGCAGTTTGTGTCCCGCAATCACTGGGAACAGCGAATGCAAGCGGCCCATTTCCCCTTGGAGAACTGGCCCAGAAAGTAGCCATGTGACCTGGACCTGGAGTTCCTTGCAGGCCTCAGTGAGTGCAGTGTCCAAAGTGGACCAGACCTGTGGACCCACCTTCCTTCCAGGAGGCTTCGGCCAGGCAAACACATGCCTGCCTCTTCCTGACACCTGAGGCAGGCAGCTGGGCCGTGGTGCTGGCTGACCTGTCCAGGGCTCCTTTGGTTTCTCGGCCCCACTGAGGTGGGTGCAGAGCACAGTGCTGCCCTCCAGCTATGTAGCAGGGAAGAAGCCAGCCTGGCGGACAGAAGCAAGAGTGGCATCTCCACCGAAGGGGGAACATTTTAGGACCACATGTTGCATAGGCAGGGCAGAGCCAGTGGGCAGCAGAGGGGACAGGGGACATGGGTCGAGGAGGTAGTTGAATAGTGGCTGCCTAGGCTAGGGGTAGTAGACACCTGAGCCAGCCAGGTAGTCAAAGTGCACGCTGGAGCCAGACTGCCTTGTTCCTGTTGGTGACAGCCTTGGAAGGTTCCTTAATACCTCTTGGCTTCAGGCCTCTGCTTGCTGGGAGGACTGGAGGACTGGGGGCGGCTCTCTTTGCATGTTGACTCCAGCAGGATGAACTGACAGCGGCAGACATCACTGCTGGGCATGCACACAGGACAGTCTGAGCCGGGACTTGAGGACTGCACTGTGATCCTCTGCTCCACTGGGACAGCTCAGGAGGTGGCCTGTTGGTCAGAAGGCAGCGTGCTAGGCTACAGATCCTCTGGACTGGAAGTGACCCCCACGGCCCTTCACGCGCATGGCTGGCCTTCCTGCAGGAAGCACTGTTTTTAGTCCTCGTTCCATTGGTTAATGGGCTGCTGGTGCTCACTGCCTGTATAGGGACTATTTTAGGAGCAGACATGAATCTCCTGCCTGTCTGGGCTCCTGGTGCTTAGCTGAGCTGCAGGAAATGGTGATGGAAGCAGGCTTTGGGGCAGAGACCCAGGCTCCCATAGCCCCAGGTGCTCAAGGGCATCTTCTTGGCCCCTGCTTCTTTCTCTTTGCTGCCCGCCTGCAGCTGCATGTTCCTGGCCACAGACTTCACCCTAGCAGGCCCCGTGGGAGAAGCCCACAAAGTGGACAGTTCTGAGCCAAGTCATAGATAGCTGCTTGGAGTCACAGGTCCTGGGCATCCGGTTTCTTCCCAGGGCACCCTGCTTCTGGACCTGGATTTGGAATAGGAATGTCTGAACCTGTCCTCAGGGAACTGGTATAGCAGAGGTGCTGTCCCTGGTCAGACCTAAAGGGTGGCTGAGCGTTCTCTGTTGCATGGCATACTTGGTCCATCAGTAGTCACTGCCCACTCTACCACCCTGTTGTCCCCTCCTCTACCCCACTCGAGATGAGTGCCTTTGACTTCCCAGTTGTTAACCACTGTGTGCCCCCTACCTGAGCAGAGGGACCAGGGTGAGCTAGTGCTAGTGTCTCCTTCATCGCCATGAAGGAAGCAGGTCCAGGCTGTGACAGGCATGGCAGTGTCAGTCTAGGCCAGAGTCAGGCCTTGCTTGACGAGGAAGCTGGATGCTCCCATCTAGTGAAGGTTGCATCTGGTCACTGGGTTGTTCCCCCTCACCCAGAAGGAGTTGTGTGTTGTGCCCATACTCCTACTCCGTGGTGATCTGCAAGGGTTTGTCTCGGTGCCTCCCACCAGCTTTGCACTCAGCTGGCTCCTGTGGCCTTCAGGGGAGCAGTGGGGTGATCCTTGTCACTGATGCACAGGATAGGGGGCCTCTTGTGCAGTGAGCTCCCCCAGAATGAGTGGCAGTTGACTTGCAGCTTTAGGAACCTGACCTGGGATGGCTTCTGGCCCTGCCCAGCACCTGCCAGGGCCCAAGAGCAGCCGCTGAGGAAGCAGAGCAGGAAACTTGAGCTGGGTTCTTAGAGCTGGCGTGCTCCGGTTACACAGCCTCCCTGCGCCTGCTGCTATGCTGCAAGAAGTTGGCCTAGAGGCTTACCACCGCCCCTCAGAGGTTATGTGACAGGTTGTGACACTGGCAGAGTCTTCTGCACATAGGGCAGCCGAAGAGGCAGGGATGTGATCTCGCGTGTCAGAGCTGCTGGGGAAAGTCACTTACCTGCTGTGCACACCCCCAGACCCCACCCCAGCTGCTCCTTCAGGCTGGGACCTTGGGTCTCCGGGAAGGGGCCCATGGTGATTCCCACAGCTCTGGCCACAGCAGGGCCTGAGGCTCAAAGCTACAGAGATCTGTACCCAGGGAGAAGGAAAGAAGACAGTTGGCAGCGAGAGGAGCACTTACCAGAAGAGCTGGAGGGGCACCAGGCAGGGCGGGAAGACCGAAAATGACCCCAGGGGACCGTGTGGGGCTTGAGTCGCCAGTTGCTATAGCCAGTGGGGAAGGTCCGCCATGGGCCTCTCACAGGCAGGTTGACGGTTCTCTTTCTCACAGGACCACGGCCGCTTTGTCAACTGCGTGCGATTCTCCCCTGATGGAAACAGATTTGCCACAGCCAGTGCTGACGGCCAGGTAAGAGCCAGGCCAAAGGGTTGGTGGGCAGCAGGCTTTCGAGCAGTGTACCCCCACTTCCTCTTGAGCGTGTCACTGAAGCCATTGGTCACAGGCTTTCTCTTAAAGCAGGGAAGTGTGGTATTTAGTCACAGTAGCTGGAGTAGTGGCGCACTGAGAGCACTCATGCAGCCAGACCCAAGACACACAGACCCTTGTTCTTGTTTCTTGGAAGATATTCATCTACGACGGGAAGACAGGAGAGAAGATATGTGCGCTGGGAGGAAGCAAGGCCCACGATGGAGGGATTTATGCTGTGAGTGAATTTCTGTGTCCGTGATGTACTGGTTGTCATTTGTCCGAGTCTGTAGCCATCAGTGTTAAAGTTGGATGAAAATGAAAAATGAAGGGCTGAGATGAGGGAGGTACAGAGCTGCAAGGCCACCGTGGGGTGGCAGGAACCGGGGACTGGGTACACCAGCAGCCTCCAGGCTTTGCTTTTCTCTGCTTGAAAACACAGCCGAGCACAGGCTGCTTTCGGATCTCTTTGCTCCGCAGCCCTCTGACACAGACCTGTCTCACTTTGCACAGATCAGCTGGAGTCCTGACAGCACCCACTTGCTTTCCGCTTCTGGAGACAAATCCTCAAAGATCTGGGACGTTGGCGCCAACTCAGTGGTCAGCACGTTTCCCATGGGCTCCACCGTGCTGGACCAGCAGCTGGGCTGCTTGTGGCAGAAGGACCACCTCCTGAGCATCTCCCTGTCAGGCTACATCAACTACCTAGACAGGAACAACCCCAGCAAGCCCCTGCGGGTCATCAAGGTGAGCCTGGCCACCCTGGGGCTGGAAATTCAGAAGAGAGGACCTAAGCGAGGTGCCCGCTCAGCTCTCAGGTGTGCACAGCAGGGCATGGAAGGTGAAGAGGGAAGCTGTGCACACAGCCTGGTGGCCAGAAGGCCAGGCCCAGGAAGTAGTCGGGGCTTAAAGACTGACAGCGCCACTCTGGGGCTCCATGTGGGGTGCTTGGAAACTCCGCCCTGGAGATTCAGGCCCGGCTGTGCAGGGGAGCAGAGTGAGCCCCCTGTCTGTCGTCCTGTGTTGTCAGCCCAGCTCTGCGCACCAGCCCTTGCCAACACCTCTGCAGCCTTTGCAGAGCCAGGCCAGCACTCCTTGGGTAGATCAGCTCGGACTGTTGTCAGCTCCAACTGTTGTCAGCTTGTGCGTTTGAAGGAAAAACTACCTGGTCACACCTGTGTGGGTCACACAAGGCGACTGGGGCTGAACTCAGGCTGCAGAGCTGCCAAACCATGAGGCAGAGCCCTAGGGAAGGTGGTTCCCAGCCCAGGCCACAGACATGAGCCTCACCTGGATGCTTTCAGAAGGGGCTTCTGGCCCATCCGGAGAGGTGGATCAGAGGCTGCAGGAATGACCTGCAGGTGCACATAGATCACCCAGGAGCACCATGGGGCTAAACGGCCCCCCTGGGCAGGGACACCTGGGCAGGCCAAGAGTACGCGTTGCTCACAGGGTCCACTCACTATCCGGGCTGGTCCAGGGGCTATGCTATGTGGCAGGCAGGATTAGGGGTGCTCTGTGTTCCTTCCCCTGAGGGGAAATGCCATATTGTGGCAACGTGGAATATTGCAAAGTTCTGGAAAGAGAGAAGCCAGCTGACAGCTGTGTATACTGATAACAGGGAGACTGGCTGGGAACCAGGGAGAAGGTATAACCAGAACCCAAGTTGCAGGCCTCTGGCCAGACACAGAGGAGGTTAAAGGTCCCTGCTGGGACACAGGACATGTATCTAATTGTAGACCTGCTGGGCACACCTTCTGCTATGTTAGCAGCCTTGGGGAGGTTGGGGCAGGGTCTCAGAGCCCCAGAGCAGTGTGGGTGGAAGAGGCCTGTGCTGCAGTTAGGCGCCTGAGTGGGGCCATGGCTTGGACCTGTCTGCATCTAGAGGCCAGATGCCATGGAGGGAGGCTTGCATGGCCAGACGTATTGATAACCTGCCATCAGGGAAGGCAGACCAGGGCCCGAGCGGTGGTGGCCTCAGCTCACCCTGCTCTTCCTCTCCTTGCAGGGTCACAGTAAGTCGATCCAGTGTCTGACAGTGCACAAAAATGGCGGCAAGTCCTACATCTACTCTGGGAGCCATGACGGCCACATTAATATCCTTTGACTCAGGGTGCTGGCAGGCAAGGAGACAGTCCTGTTCCCACGGTGGTGCAGGCCAGGGGCCAGGTAGCACTGGCTCTGCTGGTATCTGGCACACATAGGCCCTTGGTGGCTCCAAGCCCTGGGCTGGGGACACCACAGCCTTGACCCTAGAAGGTGCTTTCCCAACTCGATCTGCCCCGTGTCCCGTCTTCCCTGACCCGAGCTGTCAACCTCCCTGTGAACTTGTCCCTGTGACAGGTGGTGGAACCATGGAGTCCTAGAATTCAGAGAACTTGGACAAAGAGTCTTGTGTTTTTGGTTTTTTCTTTTTGGGTTTTGTTTTTGTTTTTGTTTTTGTTTTTGTTTTTGTTTTGTCTTTTTGAGACAGGATCTTGCTATGCAGTTCAGGCTGGCCTTGGACTCACTTTGCAGCCTAGGCTTGTCTCCATCTTGCAACAATCCTCCTGCCTCAGCCTCGAAAGGGCATCACCACGCCTGGCCAGAGTCCTTTGTTTGCAAATGAGAAACTAAAGCTCAGAGACTGGTGCCTGCCCCCAAGCCCCTCAGCCCAGCAGCCCAAGGCTGGAACTGGATCTCCAGGGAGGCTGCTCTGGAGGTGCAGAGCACCCTCGTTCAGAGGTGCCTCCCAGACCAACCCCCCACCCCCGCCGCCGCCAGGTTTCTCCCACACAGTGGGGCTTCCACGGGACTTCCTGGGACAGGGACGGACTGCTCTCTCTGGCTGAACACAGGACCAGGAATCGGTGGCCCCCACCCCAGAGACAGCAGATGAGCCGCCCTCTTTCCTTTGAGACTCAGGAGAAGCCTCTCAGGCCATGCACAGGAGGCCCTAGGACGTATCTCCCATCTGCCCCGTGAATCCCTTCCTCCTTGCTTAAAGACTGACAGCGCCATGGTGTCAGTTCCTTCCTGGAGGAATTGTACTGAGCTGAGTCCTCCTCTGTCCGGTGCTGGGTTTTCCATACACTAGAGTATTCATCTAGCCTCCTACGGAGAAGGTGGTCTTGTCTTCCTTTGAAACAAGATGTTCATTTGTTAACCTGGAAGAATCAGTTACTAAAGGCACACCCTGTGCAAGTGCCTTGTGCTGGGCACAGAATCCACAGAACCTGGAAAGCCAGGGTCCCTCGAGGCCATTACCCGGTGGCACCTGGGCAGCCCTCAGGCACAGCAGTATCCCAGCAGATGGTCTGATGGCCGTGGCTGGGCTCTGTTACAGGACAGGTGAAAGGAAGCAATGGTCCCTGGTGCAGTCCACATGCCAGCAGCATCCTACATTGTCTGGGGACTGCACTATCCTGGTCACTGTGAGTGCTCGCTGGATGGGTTATATCCGAAGTGCCTGGGGCCAGGACTTCTTGACATTAGGGTTTTTTTCACACTTTGAAATACTTGCATGTACATAAAGATGCCTATCTTGGGACAGAGGTAGGCACTTTGTTACAGCCAGATCTCCTCAGCGCCAGTGTTGTCCCTGCCCCAAGAAGCAGCTGCCCTTTGAGGACCCAGGAGTGAGACTGGGGAGCAATTCCCACCAGTGCTGCTCACCCTCGTTCAGTGCTACAGATCCCTGGGTTTCTGCTATCTGATGGATGGATGGCTCAGCATGCGCCCCTACCCCTCAGCGGGCTGGGCTGCCTGGCACCAGGTGATAACTGTGACCCTCCGGGGGGCAGGATCCCACTTCTCCTTAACCCCGCCCTACATTACTGGGATTCCGAGACTGGTGAGAATGACGCCTTCTCTGGGAAAGGCCACACGAATCAGGTGTCCAGGATGACGGTGGACGAGTCAGGGCAGCTGGTCAGCTGCAGCATGGACGACACCGTACGGTACACCAGCCTCACGCTGCGGGACTACAGGTGAGAGCTGCCTGGAGCCATGGGCTCTTTCCCTTTCTGAGCATGGTCGTCCTGTTGTGGGCCCTAGGCCTGGCTGGTCTCTCCTTGTCCCTCTGTCCTCATCGGCAGAGTCTGGGGCCTGTGATGGGGAGTCAGGGTGGCCTGGCCGGGACTGTACTCAGCAGAAGGAGCACCCTGTGGCTTGGGTGAGACAGGCAGACCTTGATTCCAGCTGCTGCTTTGTGGGATTTATGCTGCCCAACAAGTGACAGGAAGTTCTGGGCGCAGGCGCAGGATTGAAGGAGGCCCTGGACCAAGCCTGTCCAGCCCCGGGCTGCGCTTCCTGTTGACAGCCAGGGAACTGTGGATCCCCAGAGGGGATCTTCAGGAGACCCATGTGCAGCATGGAGCCCAGCTCACTGCACTGAGAGAGGTCCAGGTTGCTCAGGCTGGACTCAAATTTGTGATTACCTGCCTCAGGCTCCCAGAGTGGTGGGATTGCAGGCATGTGCTGCCATACCCAGTAACTGTTGGCAATCCTTCCTGGGGGTGGGGGGCACCACCATGTGCTATGCCCACACCCAAGGCTCCCACAAAGCCAGCCGGTACCTTCAGACAGGGCCCATATAGGGAACACTAGAGACCCTGCACCTGAATGTATGGTATTTATGAGCCATGTGCATGTACCTAAATTCCAGGAACTAAATGGTAACGTGATTTCCCAAGTTGAAAGTGATGGTTTCCCGGCAGGTACCCTGCTGGACTGAGGCCCTGACACTCAGAAAGGAATGCCCTGGGCCTGGGATGCAGGGATAGGAGCTGCACTGAGGAGCATGAGGGGGTGGGAGGGACCTGCCAGGGACCCTCAGCCAGCACAGTGTCCCTGCCACCCCTTTGCCCCCTCCTGTCCCTTACACCCACACCCACCCCGTCGTGATTCATGAGCTTTGTCCTGAGTAGCAGGTCATCTTAGCGGACACTCTCCCACGTGGATTACAGATTACAGTTCTTTCTGCTTAGTTGAGCAGCGGTGGTTTCCACCACATGTGGGACACCCACACATGGCCTCCACAGTGTGCAACCCATATTTTCTCCACCAGTGGGCAAGGAGTTGTGAAGCTGGACGTCCAACCCAAGTGTGTGGCCGTCGGCCCAGGGGGTTACACTGTGGTCGTGTGCATCGGGCAGGTATGGATCCAGCTTCGTCTTGGGCTGGCAGGGGAGGTGGGATGAAGGTTGCGGTGACATCCACGTCTTGCCTGTCTGTCTCGGGGGCCGGCCCAGAAAGCACATGTGAGCCTTGCCCCTGACCTGCCATCTGGGGCACCTTCCAGGTGAGGACCTTGTGCAGACACCCTCAGTGCAGATCCTGGTGGCAGGAGCTCTGCAAGGGGCCCTGGATGTTAGGTCAGGGAGCAGCCCGGTTCCTGCCCCATCTCAGCTGCTTCTGGTGTTTATGACCTCAGACCCCACAGCACACAGAACGGAACCCCAGAGAGTGGGTGCCCTTTGAGGGAGCTGATGGAACAGAGCCAGAGTTAGTGTGGGTCAAAGGCGCACTGCCTGGGGAGCCGTTAGATTCAGAGCAAGCAGAAGGAGGAGGGGACCCTGTGTGTGGGGCCCTCTGCCCTGTGCACCGGGCACTGAGGCAGAGTGGGTGGTAGCCACAGGCAGGGATCTGGGCTTCTGGGGGAGCTCTTGGTAGCACTGTGGGGCCCTGGGCATGTGGCCAAGCCCTCCATACCGTTTTCTCCCTGTGACGTGGAGGAGCTGACTCTGCCGCTGATGCTGTTTATCCTGGCTGTTGAACTCCACCTTCGGGAGGCCTGAGGCCTCTGGGTTCAGGCCCACTTTCAAGGTCCCCCTATACCCCAGTAGGTGGGGTGAGGGCCTCACTCCAACCCCCCCCCCCTCGCCAGAGCCCCATCTGTGACATGATTCTGGGAGCAGCTCCTCTGGGGTCTAAACTGTGGACTGGTACACAGTGCATGCTAAAGACAGAGCCTGGGGCAACCAAGGTCCCTGGGATTCAAGATCACGTGGCAGCTTGGGCAGTGAGGAGTGGCTGAGGCCTGCAGGGGCCCTGCAGTGGTGCCCCGGGCCTCTTCCTCCTCCCTCTCTGGGGCCAGCCCGGGACTGGGGCTGGTCATGCTCATGCTGGACTGCAGGTGTTCTCCTGGTACTCTGTCATAGAACACTACCATCCCTAAGCTGCACAGACCTGCCCAAAGGGGTATTGGCTTTTTCCTGTCACCTGCATGTTGCTCAAGGGCCATGTCACTATCACCTCCACCCCAACCCTGTGCTGCTGCCCTGCCCTTGTCCGTGCCCCTTGGGGACCCAGTGAGACACTTAATTGGGGACTTGTCTTGATCAGACCTGAGGCCTCCGAGAGCCTAGTGCCCATGGTCAATGAGTGCAGTAATGGTGACCACAGCCATGGCCCTGTGGAGACTTTGACTATCCCTGGCTCTCATCCCCCACGTGACTGAGGGAGGAGTGGACCATCCTGCTGGGACTCGACTCCAGGGGCCCTGCTGCTCTGACCACACCTGTGTGTCCACAGATCGTCCTGCTCAAGGACCAGAGGAAGTGCTTCAGCCTTGACAGCCCTGGCTATGAGCCCGAGGTGGTGGCAGTGCACCCCGGCGGGGACACAGTGGCTGTGGGGGGCACGGTAAGACCTATCCTTCTCTGTCCCCCCACCTTGGCTTGTGTGAGTGACTAAGGCCCTGGGGAGCTCTGTGCCCCAAGGTGTGACGGCCTATTCTGGGGCCCCACTACTGGCCCAGCATGCCCATGGGCTCCCGTCCTTCAGTGCCTCCTGCAGTGGGTGCAGATGACACCAGAGGGTTTTCCTGCTGTCTGTCCCCAATCTTGGTATCCCTGGGGCAGATGCTGTCCCTTTTATGTGAGGGTGAGGGGCCCAGGACCCAGGAGTCAGCCAGCCAGGGTAGAGGGACCGCTGTCGGCAGATGTTGCCAGCCTGTGGGTACAGTTTCATACCCCATCGGCGTGGGAGGGAGCCCTCTACCCAGGTGGCAGGTGGGCCGCCCCAGCTCTCCCCGCAGGTGTGACTGTTTCATTTTCTTTGGCCTCCTCTGCTCCTGGCTGGTGTCTGTGACTCACAGCTGCATTTGAGGCCTGTCTCCCGTCATGCACTGGGCACACTGGCTGCATTTGCCTCCATAGCTTATTTGTCAGCTGCATACACAGAGTGGTGGTTTTCCTTAGTTCCCTGCTCACCCCCAAGTGACCTGGTGAGCAGCGGGCACTGGCTGTTTCCTCATTCAAGGCTTTCCCTGTGGATTATGGCTTGTCTCAGACCACAGAGCCCTGAGCTCTGCTACAGAAGGGTCAGGAGGGCCTCTGCGACCATACAGGGCAGCAGTGCTGGTGTCCTGGCAGTGGGACTACCACTGTGGCAAATGTGCAGCTTACTGGGGCCAGGCCCTGAGTACAACCCTAGGGGTGGGAGTGGGGTATCCAGCACAGGGAGGTGACCGGAAGCTCAGCAGAGATGGGCAGGGCAGACTCACCCACAGAGCTGGGGAATGCAGCGGCCCCTCAAGCATGGTGGCCAGATTCGGCTCAGAGCCAAGCAGCTGCTAATAGGAAGTACAGGCTCCACCATGCCTGGTCTACAGGATCAGGGTTGGGAGCCTCAGGTGGGGTCCTCCCAGTGCCTCTGCCCCAGAGGGAGCAGGCCAGGGGTGCCAATGAGGAGCTGCAAGGACACCCTCCGTGTGGGGGTGGGAGGCTCCAGAGCAAAACTGTGCGACACAGGAAAGGCTTCCACTGATGGCCTGGCCTTCGCCTCCACGCGGCTGCCCTGTTCACTAGGGCTGACTCCCTGGTCTTTACCTGCAGGACGGCAACGTCCGAATCTACTCCATCCTGGGGTCGACGCTCAAGGATGAGGGCAAGGTCCTGGAGGCCAAGGGCCCCGTGACGGATGTGGCCTTTTCCCATGACGGCGCCTTCCTTGCTGTGTGCGACGCTAGCAAGGTGGTCACTGTGTTCAATGTCGCCGACAACTACTCGGTGAGTGGGTCGTGGTTTCCTCATCTCCATGGGGTGGGCGCCCAGGGGCTTACAGGGCACCCTTCGGCTCAGGGGTGACCAGGCGCAGATCAGGGGCTGAAGAATCATACTCTCTTACCACCCTGCCTGTTGCCTCTGATTCCAACCCGCAACTAGGAGAACAACGTCTTCTATGGACACCACGCAAAGATCATGTGCCTGGCCTGGTCACCAGACAACGAGCACTTCGCCTCTGGCGGCATGGACATGATGGTGTACGTCTGGACCCTAAGCGACCCAGAAACCAGGGTCAAGATCCAAGGTGACTCTGACCCCTCATTCTTTCCTGCAGAAATGGACTCTTAAGGGGGCATTGCACGAGCTTCTGTGTCAATGGCACCCACATGGTATGGGACTCTCGGCGGCTCCCCAGCATTCTGTCCCCAGCTCGGTCCTTGATCAGGTGCCTGCACTGCCTGTAAGAGTGGTGTCCACTAGGTGGCCAGCGTGAGCAGTGTGAGCAGTGCCACGCTTTAAAGAGAACCCAATTAAGAGCTCTTTGATGGCACAGTGGACCCCACCCAGCACCTCACACTTTTTCCCCTGCTGTGGGCTCCTTTCCAAGGCTCTGCAGTCGCGTGAGGCTCAGGACCCTTTGTGGGCTGGGAGCTGTCACCTCTTCCCACATTCCCTGCCACCCCGCCACTCCTGCGGGGTCCCCTTTGCAGCCTCGCCCATCCCATGTGCTGTGTCTACAGAAGGCAGCCTTTGCCATGTAGAAGGGATTCAGAGGCCGCTGCAGAGCCATGGGGCAGGGACACGCTGTTCTGTGTTCCTGGTTCCCTGTGGGCCACCAGGATGGGTAGGGAAGGCCTGCAGCAGGGTCCCAGGAGCTGTACTGGTCTGAGTGGAAACCCACCAGTTCAGGATCCCAGGGTGTAGAGAGGGTTCCCAACCTCTGTCTGAAGTCGGGAATCACGGGTCACGGGTTCACCTCCAGGCTGGCATTCATACCTGTGGCTGAGAACTGCACCTAGAAAGAAACAGTGTGGTGATGGGGTGCAGCTCCAAGGCCAGGTGACTCAGGGGTCCCAGCCTCCAGTGCCCGTTTGCAACCTAACTGGCTGAGGCTCCTGCCATTGGGGCTGGGGGAGAGAGCAGACAGGCTCCCCCTTCTGGACCAGAAAGGTGCCTCAGCTTCATGGCAGGGGCAGCGAGGAAACCACAGAGATCCCCACCCAGGGTCACAGCTGAGAATGGGCAGAGGGGAGGTGATGGGGAGTCTGGGATCTTGGCCCTGGTATGTGATTTACTTTGGGGAAAGGAAGACATGAGTCTGAAAGAGAAAGTCTGCGGCTGTTTCAGAAAGTTGGAAGAGAGATGGGATATGTTGTCAAAGCAGGGGTGGGTGATTCATTATTTTTCAGTGATCAGCCATCACGGGAACCAAGAGATCAAATTTCTTCTCCTGTCTCTCCCCAGATGCACACCGGCTGCACCATGTCAGCAGCCTGGCCTGGCTGGACGAGCACACGCTGGTCACGACCTCCCACGACGCTTCTGTCAAGGAGTGGACAATCACCTACTGAGGATGCCCCGCCCGCCCGCCTGCTGCCCACCAGGGACCGATTCAGGGACTAGAGGAACTGCCGCGGAACACACTTCTCTAACCGTTTCTGTAACCGCCCTACCCCCCAGGAGGGAGGAGGCCCAGGGTACCCTGGTCTCTGCAGGGTGCTCATGTCTGTATATGTCCTTCTGAAAGCTTTAGACAGTAACAGTTTGCACATGAAAAATAAAGCGAGCACTTAAACAGCGTGTGGAGCGTTAACTAAAACCCCACAGCCCAACCCGACCTTGAGAACGTGGAACATTCCAGAGGCTTCAGCCTCCAAAGCACAGAGCCCAACCCCCCCGAGGCTGCTGCTGTCACTCCGGAGACCAGGCAGGAAGGAAGCCACGGGTGCCCATTTGCTGTACAGGAAGTCCCTGCTCCAGGAGACGGGGAAGGCACCGCGGCTGGGGGAGCCGGTGCTCTGTAGAGCGGGTGTCTGTGAGTCCCACCATGCAGCTGCCCCAGTTCCCACAGGGACACAGGCACCCTAGACCTGTTGCTCTGTCGGATCTTGTGCTTGGTTTTAAGATGGAGTCGTGGGATGGTTTTTTCTTTTTTTGTTTATTTTACTGTACCTTTAACTGTTGACTGTCTGTGTTCCTGAGCTGGTCACTAACAGCACTGTGTCTGGCTGTCCAGAGCTCTGTTACCCGATCCAGGTGTCCTGGTCACCACCATTATCGTGCTTTGATGTTTTCTTATCTCTGCCCCCAAGAGCAAAGAGTAATTTAAGGGCAAAGATGAAATTACTGTAATCTATAATGTCGTTTTTACCTGCGTTTTCTTTTTCAGTGCAGAAATTAAAAGTAAGTATAAAGCACCGTGATTTGGAGTTTTTTTGCGTGTGTCGGAATCACTGGTAAATGTTGGCTAAGAACAATCCCTCCCCCTTGCACTTGTGAAACACTTTGAGCGCTTTAAGAGATTAGACTGAGATATAATTAAATACCTTTTCTCTTCATTGTGGATCACTGGCTTTGTGTGGCGGGGCACATGGGGTGGGGAATTCAGGGAAACCACATGGTCTTGGGTCTCCCCAGCCTGGGGCTCAGGAGGAGACGGTCCCACAGACAGCCCCAGAGAGTGGCCCAACCTCCTGGACGCATCTCCACCCCTTTGGCTCTGGGCCTCAATTTCTTCATTCACTGAAATGAGACCAGGTTATGTCTGCCTCCCATCTGAGCCTCAAATTCTTCTGTGGTCCTCTTCTGAGTTCCTCCAAGGAAGGAAGGACATGTTGAAATCTGAACTCCCAAGCATCCAAAGTTAACATAAAGTTGTGGATGTACTTTCGGTACAAAGTCATCTCTCCCCTCCTGAGAGCCTAATCATGTTGTATATAATATATACACGTATAAAAGGGCTACAGGAGTGGAAGAGAAAATTACAAGTTAATGTGTAATGGCTATAGCTGGACTGCCACAGCAAAGCCTGAAGTACCTGGGTTTGAGACAGTGTGGTTTTCACGCCACTGGGCAAACCAGATACATAACATACAAAGTCGATAAAACTGACAGCAGGCTGAAAATGACACGCTTGTCTTGTCCTGACACCAGGCTCAATTTTGGTTGTTAGCAAATGGAATCATGAAGAAACACGGGCTAGCTCAAGTTGCACAAACAGTATTTCTAAGAATGGTAAAGGATAGCATTTGGTTATATATTTTAAATCTGCATTGAAAAAAAACATTCACAAGATCAAAAAATAAGTAGCACAGAAACTCTTAATATGTGCCAAAAGATGTATTAGGTGTTTTAAAATGAATTTTTATATGGAAAGGATATTTCAAAATGATTAAAAGCTAAGCCACAGAAGAATGAACACAGAATGACGCCACTTACGGGAACTACCACGGGCTCATTTTAAAGCAGGAGCTCTGAGGCATGGAAGGACGTCGTCTCATTGCTTTACTCGGCTACGGGGGGCCTTGTAAAAAGATCAGAGTGAAGTCAGACAAATGTGAATGTCACATGGCTTTTCCTATGAGAAATGACAGAGCAAAGTAAAAGACGTTAAGCAGTAGGAAGATAGCTCTTTCCCTGGTGGGAAGGGAACCAAGAGATGGGAGGCAGGAGGAAAGATAGGGGGAAATTGGGTGTGTCACCTACAGGTACCAACACCATACAAGGGGAGTACACATGCTGCAAACGTGTACTAATAAAGGAATCTACACCCGAGAGCTACATTTCAGGGAGGGAGATGTTTGTGCACACTTAAAAAATTCAAAAGAAAACTGGAAAACAAGGTGCCACCTCTTCTTAGGAGAGAAAGGAGTGGGCCACAGTTGGCTTGTCACCTGGAGTCACACACCTAGGTGCCTAGGGAGTGAGACGAGGCCCTGCTGTCCAGCTGCATTGAAGGCCACGGCAATACTGTATCATTCGTCTTGCAGAGCAGCTTGGAGCTGTTGATGGGGTCCCAGGTAACCACACTGACCACCGTATGTGTAGTGACCAATGTCGAGGATCCCTGAGGAGGGAAGGAGGACAGCAATCAGGTCCGCGGGCAGCTTAGGGCCACAGGGAGACCTGGATCTCACTGAAGGAAGCGGCATAGTGCAAAGACAGCTTGACCAAGTTGGGAGTCTTGGATTCTCTTCCCAATCTAACACTGACCACTTGGTCAGGTGGGGAAGCCCAACAGGAGGCCACAGCTGCCCATCCTGAATGCTTCTGTTTGAGCACCAGGCACTTCCATTGATCGCTGAAGTGTACATTTGAGCATGTGTAAGCTGAGCATAAATGTTTGAGCTGCAAGCACATTTACAGCTGGTGACTGTGCGTACACAATGCTATGGGTCACCAGACAATCGGCTGGGTGTAAGCTTACGTTCTCTCAGGTTTAGCCTTTTAAATTTGCCTGGTGAGTGCCCCTGAACCTGTTAGAGTCCAGTGTGACTCTGTGTGGACCTCTTGGAGTCAGGAGTCTTTTGTGGTGTAGGCTGGTCAAGCCACTGCTCTTGACAAATTATGAAGACCCCAAAAAGTTATGACTACATACAGATGTACTATACTAGAAGTTGAAAACCAGGCAAACTATAAATACTAGTGTATTTTCGTTTCATCATGGACCAAAAGACATGTTAGTAAAAGCCCTGCAATTTTACTGAGTGAAGAAATGATAAAAAGTGACATTTAAATACTATACCAGTATATAATTATTTTAAATAAAAATAACTCAGCATACTTTAAAGGAAATTTTTTGCAAAATAAAAAAAAGTTGATTGATAGATGATAAATGGAGGAAAGGAGGGAGAAAATGAAAGGAGAGGGGGAGAGGAGAAGGGAAAGAGGGAGAGAAAATTGGCATTATTTTACATTTTGGAAAATAATCTTTGATGCCTGGCCTCTCCAATCTCTGATACATTGCTTTAATTGAAGTAAATGAAGAAAATCTGGTTTTATATCCATACACAATTAGAAATGGGACAAGTATTTGATAGGATTTTCAGAGCTGTGGAATCTATCTCTAACACTATACCAGAACTCGACTAGAGACTTCTTACAAAGGAGTGCGGGGAGGAATCTGAAGCTTTGTGAGTAGACATTTGGTACTCAGGTTAGGTTAAAATCTGCTTTGGACATATCCATTGTAAGGGCATAGTTACATGACTATAAAGGCATTGTTATCGAATAACAAACTTATAGACACATTACAGCAAGTTTCAGATAGCCTCTGCTTATGTTCCTGCTGCCTGTCACATAAACACCCTGTTGGATTCAGTCAGTCTTCACTGTCTGGGTCCAGCTGCTTTTCTTCTGATAATGCACTTGGGCCAGTTTGACTATTCTCAGCTCATGTTTCCTTTAAGTAAGAAAATATAAATTGCTTCTAACTGGCTTCAAGGACTTTGGTTGGCATGAAGTAACCCAGTCAAAGCTACTTAACTTTGCTTGCTTCACTTGAACCCCCACCCCTCATCCCCAGGATGTTCCTATGTTATGATTAACAATTGATTTTAAGCAAATAGAGTTAGTTTTCCTGACAATATATGACAATTTAATCCATGTAACCCAACACATAATGCCTTGTAATTCCTGCTTGTAAACTGTATTTAAACTGGAATCAAAGCTGGCTCTGGGCTAGCAATTTGGACTTGGTCTCACTAGCCCACCAGCATAATAAATGATTGTCTCCTAACTCCTTGGTGCAAAGAGTCTTATGTTGGTTTTTATGAAACACTATTATCTACACACAAGTTTGCAGCATTCTCTGATTATTTGTAAAATCATGGTTTGTTAAGTGAGACAGATCTTTCATCTCCTAACAGGTATCACATACAATCGAAGTCTCATTTCTTCAGATCACATTTCATCAGCAATGTCATTAACTGTTAGGAAGTTAGGAAGTTAATACAGTTGCAGATGATTCCCAGTTCCTGGGTCTGTCTGTCCTTCAAGGTTTCCTATAACCATCTGTCTTTCTGCACTCACTTCTACCTCTTGGGTCCTCCCTCCAGAAAGAAGAGGAAAACACAGAGGAGACACCAGAAATTTTTCAGGGAATCCCTTCATCATGTGAGCTCACCTACCTTGAAGGGGCTGGGCATCTACAGTAGGGGCTGGGAAACATCCATCCCAGGCTCCAATATTCTAAAGAGGGAAAGAGACCTCTACACAGACCAAATTCTGACACATCCTCAAACACATTCATTGCCCTGCTAAGCTTGAGTTGCAAATCTGGGAACCTGAGTTTTGTTGACACTGCTATTAACAATATCTGTTATGGCTTATGTCTGAATATCCCCCACAAAGCTTCATGTGGTCATGGGGGCAGGCTGCTAGAGTTTGTGACTGCTCATGGTCCAATGCTGGGACCCTAGGGTAGGTGTGACCTACATACAATATAAGGGACAGAATCTTCCCTCACGTGCTCTTCTCTCTTTGCTATTACTGCTTTTGCTGTTTTCTTCTGCCATAAACTGCCGCCCTCTGTCACACCACTCTGTCTTGGACTCAGCACATTATGGACTGAAACCTCCACAAATTGTGAGCTAAATAAACCTTTCCTTCCTTAACTTTGGGTGTCAGATATTTTGTGTCAGCAATGAGAAAAGTAAACAACACAATATCTGTTGTACTCAGGGATTGTGAGAACAATTGCAATCAGGACACAGAATTTATAATATTATTTTATGATGGTCACCCAGAGTTAAACACAAGAAACTACAGAAAATCTGTCCACCATACTAAAGGCCCAGCATATTCAGCCAAGGGCCTGGATCTTACAGCAATGTCCTGCATGAGTCCAGATGAAGACCTAGAGCCCATGACAATGCCTCCCACGAGTCCAACTGGAGGTCCAGAGGCACGAGGACTCACACCAGTCTGTTTTATGAATCTGCACTGGGAAGGCCCAAAGATCAGCGGTGGAAGCCAGAAAGTCTATGCCAGTGGAGTGAAGGAGCTGTGCTGGTGGGTTGAGTGTTCTCCACTCAAGCCAAGAAGTCACGCTCGTAATAAAGACCAGGGCTATCCTGAAAAGCACTACAGCCATCCTCAGTGACAGTTAGGTCCCAAGCTCCTCTGACGATAAGAACTGTCAAATACATGACCAAAAGTCAACATGACAAGTTTCTCTTGGGGCACACATCTTTCCCGATGCTCAATGAAAGGACCAAAGCTTCCCCAAAGTGACCCATAGCCAGTCTCACCACCAAGGTCCCAAGCTCCTCTGATGATAATAGTCAAACCCTTACTGGGAAAGTGAGTCATGACAAGCCCCTCCAGGAGAACAGCTTAAAACAGCAACATTCAGGAGAACCCACAATGCTTCGCTGTTCTTCTCCATGTCTCTATGCTAGCAACTGTCCCCAGGTGAGCGGGCCATCTGCATTCAGCACCATGCTGATTTAATTCAGCTAGTGTTAAGTTGACCACTAATTTTTAATCCATAACAGTATCTTTAGCTTGCAAGGTGAAATTTTTAAAACTCTTATCAGTTGCAGGAGTTCATCTGCAT